TTCCTCCCATATCCTCAGTGCCTAGCACAAAGCAAGTACACATATTCACAACCTTTTGTCCTTAACAAAACCCTGGAAGGTAGGTATTATTTTCATTTTATAGATTAGCTCCATAAGGTTTACTAATTCAGCTACACTCTGAATAAATACTGTATTAGTTTCTTTGGGCTACAGTAACAAAGTACCACTGAATGCAGAAACAGCTTAAAACAACAGAAATTTATTCTTTCACAATTATGGAGAAGTTCAAAACTACAGTGTTAACAGAGCTGTGCTTTCTCTGAAGTCTGTGGAGGAAACATCCTTCTTTGCCTCTTCTAGCTTCGGGTGGCTCCTGGCATTTCATGGTTTGGTGCAGCGTCACTCTATTCCCTGCTTCTGTTTTCACATGGCTGCCCTCTCTCCGTGTCTCTATGTGTCTTCATGTGGCCTCCTTCCCTGTGTGTATGTACGTTCTCTTATAAGGACACTACCCATTGGATGTGGGACTCATCCTAATACAGTATGAACTCATTTTAGCTAATTTCATCTGTAAAGACCCATTTCCTCATGTTGTGGGGTTCTGAATGAACATGAATTTGAGGTGGGAGGGGGGGGAGACAGTATTAAACCCACTACAACTATCAAATGGTAGAGTAAGGGTTTGAACCTGACACTGTTTCAATGATTTTCCACCTTGAAGTTACAATCTCGGCTATTCAGTTAAATTAGCAGTTAACAGTGGTGTCCCATTTTTTTTAGGACAGTTTTATTATATTGTATTTTTCTTTCATAGTTTATTGTCAAGTTGGATTCCATATAACACCCAGTGCTCATCCCAATTTTAGATATATTTTGAGAAGTGATGATTTGAGAATATCAGTGGATAGCAGAACTAAGAAACTTACCTTAGAGGAGCTTTGTCTAAGTCATTTTTTCTGACTAATACTCTGACCATTAAGTGTTGTCCTTCAGGGCATCCGAGAAACAGAGATTTAAGACGTTATGAAAGAGATTTAAGACATTTTCCAAAGATATCATTGGTAGAGCAAGAAGAAGTACAGTGGAAGTTTCATGGTCTCTCTAGTTAACATCCTTGGATACCATGCTTGTAAGTCATGATTTTCCCCAAAGCTTTAGACAAAGCATGTTTTCCCCACGAGGGGAGACAATGAAGCTCTCTTACAGTCCAAGTACATTTGGGAAATGCAAGGCTAAAGCAAGTAAAACAGATTTCTTTACTGCAGTAAATAATTGCTTCATAGCATACTTTATTTGTTAAGGTGGCTTGTGAATTTCTAAGAGGGAGGTATTGTGCACATTTTTCTAAGCATATTGGACATTTTTGTAAACCCCCTTCAGAAACTAATCATCTGTGCCACACACTTTAGTAAACTACTTTGGGTGTTTGCTTGCTTATCTAAGCACAGATAAGTTCTACTTTTCTGAAGGTAAATCTATACAAATATACTTCTTTGGATTTTATAAATTGGTTCTGAAGCCCTCCATAATGGATGAGATTCCTGACATGAGAGACACTGATGGGTTGCACCATGGCACCTGCTAATTTATTGGTCAATTCATTCACTCCTTTATTCATTTATTTACTCACTGATTTCATGTGCATTTGTGGAGCCCAAGGTAGTAGCTGTGAATATAAAGATGATCAAGACCAAGTCTTTTCATTAAGTGATTCAGATAATACACGTCAATCACTATTTCCCAAAGTAATTCTAATAAATGGAAACCACTTGTATTGGACTGAATTGTCCCTCTGAAATTCATATGTTGAAGCCCTTCCCTATTACCTTAGAATGTAAGCTTTAGGGCCTTTAAAGAGGTTAATCAGATTAAGTGAGGTCATAAGGGTGGGGCCCCAATCCTGTAGGAATGATATGCTTATAAGGAAAGGAAGAGATACGAGGGATGGGCCTTCACAGTGATGAGGCCGTGTGAGGACACAGCAAGGAAGTGCCCGTCTACAATCTAAGAAGAGGCCTCAGGAAAAATCAATCCTGCCAGCATTTTGATCTTGTATTTCTAACCTTCAGAACTGTAGAAGATAAATTTCTGTTGTTTAAGCCACCTAGTCTGTGCTATTTTCTTATGGCAGCCCTAGCAAGTAAAAATACCACTGTTAATTGTTTACTAGGCCCCTGGCTTCCAGAGCTTTATTTAGCTAGCTCTGATGTCTACTGATGACTTACACTTCCTTTATTTGTATTTCAGAAGAATTTCAAGAGGACCAATTTGATTATAAACCTCCTGAGGACAAAGCCTTTGTCTGTTGCATGTCTACATTTACTAGCAGGAAGACAGGCATTTTATAGAATGAGCATATCATTTACATTCACATCTCCAACTCCTCTCTGTACATTGATAATTGAGAGCTGGCCTAATAAATCTCTTGGAGAGAGCAAGAAATAAAAACAAGAGAACTATAAAGTGTTAGGACCATAGCGAGATGGTTCAAATATACCTTTTCATTTAATGTTTCTCTTCTATTTTGAAGCAAATATCTTTACCCCCATTTTTCAGATGAGAAAACAGAAGTTCAAAGAGGATAAGTGATTTTACCAAAATCATGAAAACACTGGTAGAGCCAGAATTCAAGCTCATTTTTCCCCTGAATATATGCTGAGGGAAACAAGTAAACTTTTTTAAAATGACAGATAGATGACTAGAATGTTTTCATCAATTGCTTAATTAGAGGAAAGAGGAATGCTGATGCTGGCTAGGCATCAGAACTTATGAAAAAAGCTGGAAAGTTTAGTAGACTATGTTTATTTTAGTGACATCATATCTGACATGGCTACCAACAAGTCAGGCCAATATTAAGTTGTGCAAATAAAAGTAATGATTAAAAGCACTTGCTAAGTGCCAGATGCTGTTATTGGTTCTTTATATGTGTTCCTGAAACTGCTATTCAGGAAAACTAGTGAAAAAACATGAGTGTGTCCAGAGGCAGTACCAGAATGATCAGACTTGAAATTATGCTACACAATTACTGGTTGGATAAACTGTCAAGGTTTACTCTGAAAGAAAAAATAAAGATAACATGATAGCCATCTCAAATAGTTGAAAGATTTTCAGGTAAAGAGAGATTTAGGCATAGGAATAGAATTAAGAGGTAGGGAGTCTTCTATTACTGAGAGTATTAAAATAGAATGCATTCTGAGGGGGAATGGAGGGGAGGGGAAGGGGGGTGATGGCATGGAGGAGGGCACTTGTTGGGGTGAGTACTGGGTGTTATATGTAAACCAACTTGACAATAAACTATTTAAGGAAAAATAATAGAATGCATTCATGGAAGATCAAGTAGTTAAACTTAAATTCCCTCAACTTGAAGATTATAGGGCTTTTAGGATTCATAAAAATCACCTTCTTCTTCTTCATCAACAAAGTTGGACTTGGAGAAAAAAAAAATATATATTAGTGCTAGTTCCTTTCTGGAACTAAAGAAAAGAATTCTCTAGGAGAGACACTTATCAATTCTGTCATCACCATTTCTAAGAGAGATACTAGGAAACTGTTGTTCAATTTGAACTCTTCTCTGTATTGATTCTTTTATAACTATATTAACAAAATTCAGTCTCTGGGTTTCAAAGCATGGAACAATACCTGTTTGGGAGAGATTGTCTATTTATTTTTGCCTTTATCAGCAAGAGCAGCTCATCCTTAATGCCTATCATTGGGCCAGGCATTGAGCAGAAGCTTCTTACAATAGGATGTGGTTGGGCGTTTTTCTTATCAGGGATCAGTCTTTCTCGTGAAGTACCTACAGTGGCTGAGAAGTGAGTACATGATGATCGTGAGCATCATTAGAGGAATTCAAGTAGATAATCCATTTGCAAGCACCAGAGAAGTGCGGTTATGTGATGCCATGGGGCTACTCGGAGCCCCAAATGGCAAATTAAATAGTTGTCGGGTTGTGGGGCATCGCAAGGGGGAATGAGGATAAACTGCCGAACGGTCCCACTGAGGACGGGTCAAGAAAGACGCATACAATGGACCCAGAAAATCCAAGCTGTCAGAGGTGTGTGTGTATCAAAATTACCTTAAAAAAAAATCACATTATTGTTGCTATGAACACTTGACTAGTAAATGTGAAATATATCGTAGCAGGAAAAACAACGCGTCCAGAGGGTGTTCCATCCTGCTGTTCAGAACATCGTGGGTGCTCAAATAATACTAACGCTCCACGATGAAGATGGTAGCGAGGATGATGATGATTAATGCAATCTAAGGGAAAATAGGGCTGGGGAGGATGACACAGACGAGAGACCAGGAAAGGGAGGATGACTCACGGGTGAGGGGTACCTGGGGATAGAGCTATGTGGCGTGCACGTTGGCGAGCGTGGGGGGAGAGGCTGGGGCACGAGTGGCTCTGACCCGGGGAGTGGGCGGGTGGGTGCCCGTGGGCGGAGCGGCTCCGGGACTGAGCGGCTGGCAGCTATGTTTGCGAGAGCAGCAGCATCACCCGGGAGCGAAGCCTCCGAGACTCCGCCTAACTGACACCCAAAACTCTCCCTTTCCCTCCCGCAGCCCCAAACTGGAGGCAGCCGAGCCTGGGAGCAGCCTCGGCGGCGGCGGCGGCGGCGGCAGCCCGGGCCCCAGCCCCAGCCCCAGCCCCAGCCCCGCCCCCGCCCCGCGCGCCCGGCGCGCGACGCCCGGATCGGCCGAGCCTGGCGCGAGCCCTCGCCCCCTCGCCGCGCCCGCCGCGCCTCCGCCTGTCCGCCCCCGCCGGCCGAGGCTGGGCTGCCGGAGGCGGCCGGGCGGCCCCGAGCCGAGCTAGGGCGACCAAAACAAAGGCAGCATCCGGGGCTGGGTGGATGCAAACAACCATGAAAGACTGGGTTCTCTCTCTTCCCGGCTCTGCTGCTGCCGCCGCCGCCGCTCCTCCTCCTGCTGCCGCCGCCAGGAGGGCTCCTCTGTGAGGAGAAGCAGGGGCGCAGCTGCTGGGCGTGAATCCGAAAGGTGAGAGCCGGGGAGCCAGAAGAGGGGGCGGGCAGGCCACGAAAATGTCCTCGGCGGTGGGGCCCCGCGGTCCTCGCCCACCCACGGTGCCTCCCCCCATGCAAGAGCTGCCCGACCTGAGCCACCTGACCGAAGAGGAGAGGAACATTATCATGGCAGTGATGGACCGGCAGAAGGAAGAAGAGGAAAAAGAAGAAGCCATGCTCAAGTAAGCCACCCCTGACCGCGCCATCCGTGCCTCCGTGCCTCCATCGGTCCATTCACCACTCACTCACCCAATTCTCTCGGCTGAGTGTGGGGGAGGGGCGGGCGAGGGGGCAGGGTGGGGGGCGAAGGTGCCCGCCTTGGGGCCGGGGGCGCCGGGTTTGAGCAGGGAAGAGGTTAGGGGGACAGGAGGAAGGAGGGGATGCCACCGAGCGGGGAGCCCAGGAGCCAGGAGAGGGTGGCTTGAGGCTGGGGTGCCGAGGAGGATTGGGTGGAGAGGGACCACCCTGAGGGTGGGGTATGCAGAAACTGAGAAGAGCTGATGCCGCCCAGGTGGAAGGGCCCCGGGCTGGGAACAGGTTAAGGGCCAGGGGATGAGTGGAAGAAGGGAGGTGGGATGCATGAAGAGGTGCTGAGAACAGCTCCTCTTCTCTTTCTGGAGTTGTTCAGGAGGTTGGGGTTACCCCAGTGAAGGGTGCCAGTATTTATATAAGAAAATGTTTATTTGAGTGTTCATTTTGGTACTCATTCATCTCCAGATCAAGATTGGGTCTTTTTTGGGCAGTTGCCATCTTTGGTAACCTGCCTCCCCAGCTTCTCTTTAATCTTTTAGTCACAGTCTTCTTCACAGAATACCTGTGTGAAGACACATTTTCTTACCCATATACAATGCCATTGGCAAGACAAAGTTTTAAATAATGGGAGAAGCTGATGGGGACCCTGGCCTGAATAAAATAGAGGTTCCTCTTTACTCGTTTCCAAGAGACCTCTGGGGCCTGCTCAGTTTCTGGTGGAAGCAGTACAATAGGGGATCGAATATGTGCACACATCACCCCCTTCCTTAAAGCCTATCAGCCCTTGGAAGGTTCTCTGTCTACTGCCCCGTTTCCCCCTGTCTGGGGAGGGGAGGGGGCTTGTTGCTGGTGGTGCAGGGGTGTGTGACACTGCCTGTGCTACTGCTTATCATAGACTCAAACAAAACTGCTTACAAGGTACTGGCATCCAGGCTGGGTTTTCCTTGCTCCTTAGCATCACCCACAGAGTGGAGCTGAAGGGGACTTCAATCTTGCCTTCCCTTGGGAGGTCTTCTTGTATTCAAGAAAGTTTTCAACTTGGGGGTAAAGGAATTTGGAGACCCTGAGTGGGACTAATTTGTTGGTGTCTCCCGTTTAGACCAGAAGGTGTATCTGGGGGCAGAGGATTGGCATGAAAAGCCAAAGGGAACCTGTTGCATCTGGAGTTAGCTGAGAGCAAAAATGGGGCAGGGAGGGAACAGGCGTGACACCCAGGCATAGAGCACACCCATCAGGGCCTTCCCCCCACCCCAAAGGACTGCCTCTTGAAGAGAAGATGCTGCCACTGAAGGTTTCCTCTGCTTCATCTCAGTGCAGCAGTGCCTGGAAGGAAAGGAAGGGAGGGAGTCTGCATTCCCAGACTGCTGGGTCCCCACAAATGTAACTGCCACCGAGATGGGAGAGGGGGATATTGAGCAAGTACTGTGGGTGCTGGGTCACAGCAAAAGAGTAGAAATCCAGTCATTCCTGCCCTTTCAGTGTAGACTCAAAGGGTCCATGAACTCGGAAGGCCAGAGCTGGCCTTGTTCTATAAAGAGCAGCAGGTTTCTGGATTCTGGGCTCCTTGTCCTCCAAAAGACAAATACTTTAAGCCTGCTGGCTCAAGGGGGGCAGAACCCTTGTTAATCTGCTGCCTGTCCCTAATGCAACAATGGCATCCTGGTGCTGCAGGCTTCCCCTCTTCTGAGACTGGAAGTAATGGATTGTGTCTGATGGTGCTGCTGTTTGTCTGTCTGGTTGTCAGTCTGTCTGTCCTCACTGGTTGCAGTCCCTGCCACCTGTCCCAGACATCTTTTTTATGCTGGTCAGGATTTACAGGTTGCTACTGTCCCTTTTGGTGTTCACTGCAGATAGCAGGTGGATGGAGGCCTCCAGCAGCCAGTGGAAAACATGAACTGCTGCTCAATCGTGTCTGACTAGGAAGGGGAAGGCATAGTGCAAGTAGTGGCCATCACTTCTTTGTTGGCTGTTTTAGGATGGTGGAGAGTGAGAGGTTTTAAGTGGGAAAGGGCGAGTTTTAGGACAGAATTCCAAATCTGCAAGCTGCCTAAGGATAGCATGATAAGAAGGTATGGGCTCATATGGACAAATAAAAATGAAGAACACCGTCTAATGCTCATGTCTAAAACATCTTTCCCGCTGCTGTTCCTGTGACTGCTTTGCACTGGCTTGCAACTATTGTTCCTTTATTGCAAAGATTCACAGAATATCGCAGTATGTGATGCTGTTATACAACAGCCCTCTATAATCCCAGACCTCTGCATTAACTTTATCAATCAGCCTCCTCTGTTAATGTCTTGGCCTTTTGTACAGTGGCAGACTGGTGAGTGTTTTGGAATCCCAGTTTGCTGCCATGTAAGTGTGTCATATTGTCTGCAATTAGTGGAACAGTGCTGTACTTTCTTCTAGAGGGCACTTTATGTCTTAAAAACTGGTGATTGTAGAGGCTATTCAGATGACATACATATGTGGGAACTTAATGACACAGTCATAGGTGGTGGCCTTTCCTAAACTTTGAATAAAAATAGATTGGAAAACATGATGTTTTTCACAGGGCATTGAAGTACTGTATTTGTGAAATTAGAGATAAGTTCTTACAGTGATGCTTGGTCCATCATATCACATATCTGAGAAATTCTTTTCACGACAGGCCCTGCAAAGGTAAAGTTCTGGTAAGAGCAGTTAGACTTAAAATTCACTTTTGTTCAACACTGTAGAACCATCACCTTGAGCTACCCAGTGTGCATGTTCTCACTCTCTTACTAATGTGTACAAGTATGTAAGGCATTAATAGAAGATAGAAAACAGATAGGTGAATATGTCAAAGAAAGATTACAAAATACCAATTAAAACATATTTGTATAGTTTCATCAGCCTTGATTATAAATTACTACCTGAATCTGTTCTTGATAATATCTTTAAATGTGTGTAAATGGAAAAGAATAATCAAACTGACTTTTACCTCAAGATTTCGGAAAGCTTTACTCAAAATTATAAGTACTTTGTCATAAAAATAATTCATTTAATTGACAGAGTGCACTAATTTATTTATTTTTTTTAATATTTTTATTTATTTCTAGGAGAGAGAGACAGCGTGAGCAGGGGAGGGTCAGAGAGAGAGGGAGATACAGACTCTGAAATAGGCTCCAAGCTCTGAGCTGGCAGTCAGCACAGAGCCCGACGCGGGGCTCGAACCCACGAACCGCGAGATCATGACCTAAGCGAACGTCGGACGCTTAACCGACTAAGCCACCCAGGAGCCCCCAGAGTGCACTAATTTAAAAAACCATGCCATGTAACTAGAAATAGTTGACTCCTGCAAATAATTCTTAATAATTGATTTGATTTTCTGCAAATCAGAGGTCTTTTCTTAATCTTAATAGGGCTTTTGGGTGGTGTGTGTGTGTGTGTGTGTGTGTGTGTGTGTGTGTGTGTGTTCTGGAGGCTTTTTGAAACCTAACTTCCTCAATGAATACTCTTTCAAGTAACTGTCACCAGACACCATGAGCCAATATATTACATGAGGTGAAAACTGCATTATCTGGGACCTAAATCAGAGAAGATCTCATTAGATCTAAAATCTTATTCCTTTTTTATAAAAGCTTCATAGAGAAAGGAGTTATAGAATAGTAAGAGAAGAGAAAAAATAGAAGCAGAGAGTTGAAGGGATGGTCTGAGGATAGGAATCGAGAACCATATTGAAATATTTAATAAAATTACTAACATTTATTGAGCATTTACCTCATGCTGGCCATTATTCTAAGTGATTATTGAATCAAATGCCAAATAGTTGAACTATGCTCAAGTTTAATACATGCATATTTGGATTCTCACAACAGCCTGCACAGAAGGTAAGTCAGGTCATATAATCCTCAAATCCTTATTCTACACTCAGAGAGTTCCAGTAATACCCTAAGCTGACTCACATTACATGGCCCAACCAATATTCAAACCCAGACCTTTTATTCTAAGTTCGAATACTTTTCCATACCCTACACCGTCATCCTACCAATAAGAAGCTTGCATTTCATCTACCTTTACCTTGAATTAATTTCTGCTCTTTCCTCAGAGAAGTAGTTTTGCAAAAGATTAGGCTGATTTAGTAGATCAGCTGCTGATTATAGGAGGGCCTGGAGCTTTACTTACACTCTTAATAGAGTTTTCCTGTGGATTGAGGGCAAGGCAATTGCCCCCAGTTTTAAGAAAATAAAAAGCATAATACTTTGGTGGAAAGACCATTAACTTTGGGTCCAACCATTTTGGGTGTTCTAGTACCCATTCTGCCACTTATTGTGTAAATGTGGGTAAAACAATTAAATGAGGGATTCTATGAGATTCTATTTTTCTTACAAGTTCTGCGACTCATGGTATGAATTGGTTTATAAAGAGTGTTGACTTCAGACTTCTCCACTCTCTTCTCAACAAGTTATCTAGCACTAACTTTTCAGACATCCATGAAGTCTACTTCCTTCATGAAAGGAGAAAGAAAATAGAAGTAGAACTCTTGTTAACAGCAGCTTTTCTTCCTCCTTTTTCTCCCTCCAACCAATTATAACATTGTGGCCTAAAATGTATCCACAAGACTCAATATGAGAGACCCTGATTAGCAAGTGGGAGGAAAAAGGAAAAGTAGATGGGGCATCTGGGAGGAGAGCAGATAGAGACCCAATGGATGCAGGTATCGTGTTTTCATTGGGGTTTGCAAAGATTTTCATATCTCATGCCCAGAAATATTATCTCATGTTGCTGAGGCAGGGATGGGTAAGAAGGAAAAGGAGGAAGGCAAAGAGTAATGAGGAAACCCTGCTAACCTATCAGCTACTGTCTACCATTTTTGAGATGTTGTGTTAAATAGAAAAGGGGAAGAAAACTCATCATTTTACTTGGAGGCTAGTCTCCTTTACACCATTTATGGATAGGGTTAACTTTA